GGGACATAACAATATCCTCGGGGAGAGCATTCCAAGCTTCAACTACTCTATTGCCAAAGAAGAACTTGCGCGTGTCTAGTCTGGCCCCTGTTATGCGTAGTTTGAAGAGATGCCCTCTTAAGTTCGTCGTTGTTGCTAACTCGAAGAATTCGCGCGGTAGAAGACAACAGTCCTGCCCGCGCATTATACGTGTACAGTAGGTGTACAGTACCTAATGCTAAACGGTGAATGTCTAGCAGTAGCAGGGAGTTCTCGTATACATCCTCTCTATTCAATGAAAGCACCGATATAGTTATTTCTGTTGAAGAAAGAGCTCAGTAAGACTGAAATTATCTGTCTTCAAAAGACAGAACAGAAATATCGACTCGCAAATCTTCACACCACATCCCTTCCTATCTAGCAGTAGAAGTGGCGATTTTAACCGTGTGAATTTACGTCCCCTCACACTGGTTAGATTTGACGACTTAATATCTTTTAACAGTCGCGCTGACGCCCCTATTAACCACATTTTGACCAACTATCCTTAGCTTTTTGCTGTAAAAATAGAGTTCCGTTATCAACTTCAGACCCTTCTGTGTTAGCGGGTATACCAACCCTCTATTCCAGCTCTAAAAAGGACTGTTAAAAAACCGAGAGTAAAGTATACATACGCGACATTTCCACACATATTATCTGCTGTCTACGGACGTGCATATCAGAATGCATCAATAACTTCCTTGAACACTCCAATGCAGAGTCTTGTTCTACGTAGCTTACAACATCTTTAAATGAAATCTTTGATTGTCCTCTTGACACTGTTATGCTTTGACCTGACCAAATTTCTTCTCCCATCAAAAATGTGTAGGACGCGGAAAGGAATTGTTTTACAAACTCTACTTTAAATAATAAAGGACGTGAACGTCCATATAAAACGGTAGATTTTCATACTGAACAACCTCTTTGCTTCTCAGATTTTACTTCTTCTTCCTCTTCTTCTACATTTTCGTTTCCCTGTCCTCCGCTGAAATTTGGAAGAGTCTTAAGTGTCTCACTGGACAACGTAATACACTAGCACATGTCGATGCTGACTTAAACGGTTTAAATGCCAATTTCATCCACACTCCCACCGACTTCTATCCTCCATCAAGCGAAATTTCCTTATTACCAAATATATTTTCTCCCATGTTTTTGGCCATAATGATGAAATCCCTTATAAACCTTTGAGGATCAATAGCTGCCGGGACAGATGGTCAGTCAAGTCAATTTATTAAGGGAAATATAGGCAAACTCCTTTGAACGCCCTATTTTTTGTTGAAAAAGCATATAATTAAATATTAGCTAAAATATTGCACTTGTGGTTGGATAAGCACCGGGTAGGTAAGAACAGCATACTGGCCATGATGAAAAAAGAGACAGTTCCCCTTCTCAGAAACGCAAGAGCCTTAGGTAGCTTAGTCGACGCCTTCCTGTTTTTTCGCTGCATCCTTTTAAGACGGGCCTTGGTTGTGAAATCACCGGAATCAGTCACGGTGACATTGAAATGCCACGCGAGGAAGAAGACAACACCAAATGTGGTGAGAGTGAGACTACAGAAGAATATGTAAAAACCCTCCTCCGTGAAGACGTCTGTAAAGGCTGGAATGTATGCAGAGGCTCTCCCGACGATGTCCTCAGCCACTTCTTGGCGCCCCGTGCTCATTTTCGCCAGAATCCTCTACGAGGTCGTGCCAGCAGCACTTAGGAATCGGGCTGGATGTGAACGGCACAACCAAAACTTGGTGTTTCACAACTTCTGCTAAAAAGTTGCTGTTTTCAGATAGGCCCGCCAAAAAACATCTTATCAATCTGTACCCCATGGAATCCAAGATTACGGATGGTTGAAGTTCATTGCGAATCACTCCCATCACCAAAAACGTACATTTTGGTCCCAAATACCTTCGTCAAATTCCTTGCTCATCCACACAGGTGAAACTAACAGAACGAGAGTACTTAGAAATAATCACGCCATTCTCCTCCAATTTTTCTGATCCCCTGCAATTTTCATATAAAAGCGGGCGTATCATTCTAGACGCTGCTGCTCCTGTAGTCCAATCTGCGCTAAAATATTAACATAAAGGTCGCCGTACGTACGCATGTGCATAGCTTAAATATTCCTCAGCCTTTAATACTATCCCGAGCGATCTACTCGTGAATAAAACATCTGCATACAGCTCTCCCGTCTGGACTGTCTCTTGACTAGGGGAATACTACTCGTCCCGCACTCAAGTCGTTCAATTGGTAAACATAATCCTCAGTCCTTCCCAACAGCTGCGGAGTTCTTCAAAGGTCTAGTCTATCTCCCCACCTCTTCTCCCTCCACACTGACGACCTACGATCGCTAAATGAATGATCAATTGTAAAACATGCTGATGATATGGTTGATGGTCAGCCTACTAATAGCCCGATACATCTCTAGATACTGAAAAATGGCCTAGGCCACGTCTTCGAACGGTTGTTAGCGAATGATCTCCCGCAAATTAATCAGAAGTCAATCCAGTGGGTTTTCCGGTTGCCACCTTATCCAAACCTGAGTCTATAGACATCCTGCTCAATGAGCTATGCAATTTCTCTTACTTATCACCTGTACCAATCCCTAATCTTGCGATTTATTGATGCCTACATTCTCACCCGCATTCTGTAACGTCATCCGCTTATTTTTTCGACCTTGCTTCAAGAAGGACTTTTGATATTTAAACGTATACTCTGAATACTCATTTTAGTAGCCGTTCTTTCTCAAACTTTTTTTAGCAGATATTATTTATATTGCGACACTTAACAACGGTCAAGCATTCGCTGATCGCATTCTTGATGATGTTTTTCATCAACTTCATTCTGAATTAATGGCTGTGAATTCTTCCCGTACTATGCGCCGAAGTTACCGACGTATGTCTTGCCGTACATTTACAAATAATTACTCTTAACTCCCATTCCTAGCAAGCTACCTCATGCGTAAAGAAACGGAAATCGAAAAGTTGAAAGTAGACCTGCCTCTGTTGGCGATCTTGGCGGGTTCTTCTGATTTTTACCAACTTCTCACTGGAGTCTGTATTCCGTTAGGTGACAGTTCCGGCATTTTGGTGATGATCTGACGACCTCTACTAAATCCATTTTATTCCGAACCTGGTGTCGGCGATAAGCTCCTCCTGTCTTACCTCTCTTAGGGTTGTGAACAGTATATTTGAACGGTATATGATCTCTTCAATGACAATGAGCGTTTCGAACCTTCATATTTTCTTATCAACATCACTGTCCTGTCACAGTGCATTATATTAATATAACTATTAATTTTTGATAGAAGCCCTTCTTATCTCCTATTTTCGTTTGAAATCAAGGGTTTGCTAAACTCTGTCCTGATTTCACTCATAGGAATTTTCTCACTGCTTGTTTCCAAGTTAACCATAGTTATTAGGTATTGCTGAATATTCCTTTAATTTATGGTCTGCTTTGAATCGCATTGACAAAATGTGCACAACATACTACTCATTGTGATGTTCATGCAGAGATCTGCGTCCCCTATTAAGCACCACGTAGATTCCACTCTCAAAGCCGAGGTAGGGATTTGAATATATCCTGCCGAATGCTGGTGACTTACACGTTACTGTTTGAATGCATGCCTTCACCTCTGGTTCACCGAACGCCCCCCCGGCTCTGGTTTACCAGTATTGAATGCAGCGGAACCTGCACTTCGAAGATTTGGACGAGAACCTGGTTACAATTACACCCCGACAAATCGCCAGTCAATCCCAGTA